AGTGGCAAGGTTAAAATGCATTTTCAATACCTTCTCAATAGGAGAAGTTGCGAAAAAAAACTGAAAAAATGTTTCTTTTCTAAAACTCTTTAAATTGTTCAACAGTATTACAACAACTGCAACTAGCACTTTATTTAGCTGACGTAGTATCCTGAATTCCCCACCAAAAATATATGTAAGATACAATCATAAATATAACTCATTGAAAAAAAAACCTTTAATGGTTAAATCATCAGGCAAAGAAAAGGAAAACTTACCTTCCCGGATATTCAAGAGATAACAAATGTGCCGCAAAATCACTGTCACTAGAACCTTCATATCCTGCTTGTTGTTTTACACCAAGCCAGGACTGAAATATATTATTTTCGAGGAAAAGACGTTCACAGTTTTACACCACCCTCTTTTGTACTGTTTCAGATCAGAAATAGTTCTTTTGCAACCCGAGCTCCTTAGTTTACTGCCATGGCTGCCTCTGCCTCTTGGAGCCTCAGGATTTTCTTTTTTAATGAACACAATTCCTTACTTTTGATAAATATTCATCACGGAGGGTAGCTTTCTGTTTTGATAATTCACCGAGTGGAAATCAACGTTTCTGCGGGCAAGTAGTTTTCCTCCGCAGGGATTTTTTCTTGCTGCCCATGTATTTCCAATTCCAAGGATAGACTGTTTGACAATTGACCTTCAACAGTGAAAAATACTCAATTTTAGGAACAAAATTTCAAACACATACACTTCAATTTTTGAAAGATTCACTCACATAAACAAAAGATACGTACCTTTTCTAGGGAACTATGGTTTTATTTTTTGAGAAACCGCCACAAAAAAAACTGAAATAATTTTTCATTAAAAGCCGTCGAGACAGGATTTTCTATCAGTGAACTTGTCAGGAGTACCTTCTTTGCTGGGATTAATAAAGTGTCAAAATATTCTTTTCCAAGTCAAACAGGGAACCAAATAAAAGCTTAGTGTTCGAGGATTTCGGTTTTGGCAGCTATTCATTGTTTACTAGTTACCAGTCTACCTCAAAAGGGGAAATCGTGACCGATTTCTGCTCCTTGTGCGGAAAAAGCAAAATGAACGTGCAAAAAGTTTAAACAAGAGGACTGGTGAGAGTGGGACATTCGACTTGGCCCAATTTCGGGCATTAATTTCCAAGCATGTTTTTGATAACCCGGGTTGATTCTATTAAGCCAGGGGAAGTACATGTACGGGAAATTAACCCAAGGGCCATTTCTCTTGGTCATGGTGGTCATTCTCCCTGAACAACAGTTAACTGACCAACAACACAGGACATTCCTTTCACACTTTTATTTTACACACTCTTAGGGCGGAAACCTGCTCAGGAGACAATTGATATCAGTGGTCGAGAACCTCTAGCTACCAAAAATCGCCTTGACAAATGTCATTTTCCTCCGTTATCATACATTTCTGTGTTAGAAAAAAAAATGATTTTAGAGTTCTCATTTTGTTTTGGTTTTCCTTGTCTGGCTTGATGGTCAGCATTCCTGCTTCCCGTCCATGACTGCTATGTGTATCGTGCGCAAGCTGGTCAGCAGTTGCTGGCCATAAGCACGCCCTTTGGCAGGAGCCACCTTCATATTGACTAGCGACTCTTTTCGACTCCACCCACTGGCCACCATCCAAGTCCAGGGTATAGATGCCACCTCGAGCAGTCCTGTACCTCAGAAGAAGGACCTTGTCTGCTGGCAGGAATGCTTGAACACACCCCAGGAAAATTGTAGGCTTCTGTACGGTGCTGTCCTCAACCACGAGTCCCACAAAGTCTCAACACTGATCTCCAGTAAGGTGGTGGCTGGCTCGTGGCTGGGCCTGACAGGCTCGAGGTCAGCTGGCCCTTCTTTGACCTTGGGCTTTGCCAACTCTAGTGCCATGGTCTTCCTCTCGTTTGCTGTGGGTCGGTCGTAGGTCATCTAGGCTTGCTGTTGGGGGTGCCAAGGGCAGGCGGCAAGGCTGTCTTTCATGTGGTTGTCGCATTCGCTGGAGACAGAGGAAAAACAGACAGTTATCACCAATGTGCCTATAGTGTTGTAAAGCAACAGATTCCAAAATTTATGGGGAACGGTGAAATCTCCATGCTGTCCCCTCCCAGGCTCAGTCTGGTGATGTTACTGGCTGGTCTTGGGGACCTACCACTCTTATGGTTATGTGCAGTTTAATAGTGATGGTGGCCTACCTCTGGGAATATGCCCAGGTTACAAAAGATGACCTTAGTCCACAGCTTGCGACCTTGTTTCTGGTGTGTTGCAAAAACATTTTCTGTAAATGTGCTGTGAATGAGGAACTTGAGTACAGTGTACCTTTCAAATTCTGAAATGAAATAGGGGAGAGTGAAAAATCAGAGCTCATAACTCAATTTTTTATACCTCATTACTGTGACCCACAGTTTTTAAGAGTCCTCTTTGGCCTAAAAATTCCTAATAAAGTTTCAAGTGCTTTTTCACCAAGCTGGCCCATTTTGCTGAGCTAAAGCTGCTAACACATATACTTTCCAGAAACACGTAGTTGCTGCCTAGCTCCGGGTTAAGCACCCTTTTGAATTCTGATAAAAACTGTTTGAACAGCCTGCAGAGTTGGCTGTCTACCTGCAGGGAGGAACAGAGTAAAATTACTTGAAGTCCTGTAATTTAATTTACTCTTAATGGCAAATAAGTGTTGTTGAATCCCTTGTACGTGACGTATGGAATTATAGGTACTGCTCTTAAACGGTTTCATTTGTATTTATCAAACAAGAAACAGCGAATCTGAAGGATCATGTCTTGGTCCCTTGCTCTTCACGTTGTACGCAAGTAAGCTCTTCGATGTTGTTGAATCCCATCTCCCTAACGTTTACGCATACGCTGATGATACGCAGCTCTATATCTCATTTAAGCCGGATGGTTCTGCTACTGAGATGGATGCTGTTGATCTCTTGGAGCCTCAGGATTTTCTTTTTTAATGAACACAATTCCTTACTTTTGATAAATATTCATCACGGAGGGTAGCTTTCTGTTTTGATAATTCACCGAGTGGAAATCAACGTTTCTGCGGGCAAGTAGTTTTCCTCCGCAGGGATTTTTTCTTGCTGCCCATGTATTTCCAATTCCAAGGATAGACTGTTTGACAATTGACCTTCAACAGTGAAAAATACTCAATTTTAGGAACAAAATTTCAAACACATACACTTCAATTTTTGAAAGATTCACTCACATAAACAAAAGATACGTACCTTTTCTAGGGAACTATGGTGTTATTTTTTGAGAAACCGCCACAAAAAAAACTGAAATAATTTTTCATTAAAAGCCGTCGAGACAGGATTTTCTATCAGTGAACTTGTCAGGAGTACCTTCTTTGCTGGGATTAATAAAGTGTCAAAATATTCTTTTCCAAGTCAAACAGGGAACCAAATAAAAGCTTAGTGTTCGAGGATTTCGGTTTTGGCAGCTATTCATTGTTTACTAGTTACCAGTCTACCTCAAAAGGGGAAATCGTGACCGATTTCTGCTCCTTGTGCGGAAAAAGCAAAATGAACGTGCAAAAAGTTTAAACAAGAGGACTGGTGAGAGTGGGACATTCGACTTGGCCCAATTTCGGGCATTAATTTCCAAGCATGTTTTTGATAACCCGGGTTGATTCTATTAAGCCAGGGGAAGTACATGTACGGGAAATTAACCCAAGGGCCATTTCTCTTGGTCATGGTGGTCATTCTCCCTGAACAACAGTTAACTGACCAACAACACAGGACATTCCTTTCACACTTTTATTTTACACACTCTTAGGGCGGAAACCTGCTCAGGAGACAATTGATATCAGTGGTCGAGAACCTCTAGCTACCAAAAATCGCCTTGACAAATGTCATTTTCCTCCGTTATCATACATTTCTGTGTTAGAAAAAAAAATGATTTTAGAGTTCTCATTTTGTTTTGGTTTTCCTTGTCTGGCTTGATGGTCAGCATTCCTGCTTCCCGTCCATGACTGCTATGTGTATCGTGCGCAAGCTGGTCAGCAGTTGCTGGCCATAAGCACGCCCTTTGGCAGGAGCCACCTTCATATTGACTAGCGACTCTTTTCGACTCCACCCACTGGCCACCATCCAAGTCCAGGGTATAGATGCCACCTCGAGCAGTCCTGTACCTCAGAAGAAGGACCTTGTCTGCTGGCAGGAATGCTTGAACACACCCCAGGAAAATTGTAGGCTTCTGTACGGTGCTGTCCTCAACCACGAGTCCCACAAAGTCTCAACACTGATCTCCAGTAAGGTGGTGGCTGGCCCGTGGCTGGGCCTGACAGGCTCGAGGTCAGCTGGCCCTTCTTTGACCTTGGGCTTTGCCAACTCTAGTGCCATGGTCTTCCTCTCGTTTGCTGTGGGTCGGTCGTAGGTCATCTAGGCTTGCTGTTGGGGGTGCCAAGGGCAGGCGGCAAGGCTGTCTTTCATGTGGTTGTCGCATTCGCTGGAGACAGAGGAAAAACAGACAGTTATCACCAATGTGCCTATAGTGTTGTAAAGCAACAGATTCCAAAATTTATGGGGAACGGTGAAATCTCCATGCTGTCCCCTCCCGGGCTCAGTCTGGTGATGTTACTGGCTGGTCTTGGGGACCTACCACTCTTATGGTTATGTGCAGTTTAATAGTGATGGTGGCCTACCTCTGGGAATATGCCCAGGTTACAAAAGATGACCTTAGTCCACAGCTTGCGACCTTGTTTCTGGTGTGTTGCCAAAACATTTTCTGTAAATGTGCTGTGAATGAGGAACTTGAGTACAGTGTACCTTTCAAAATCTGAAATGAAATAGGGGAGAGTGAAAAATCAGAGCTCATAACTCAATTTTTTATACCTCATTACTGTGACCCACAGTTTTTAAGAGTCCTCTTTGGCCTAAAAATTCCTAATAAAGTTTCAAGTGCTTTTTCACCAAGCTGGCCCATTTTGCTGAGCTAAAGCTGCTAACACATATACTTTCCAGAAACACGTAGTTGCTGCCTAGCTCCGGGTTAAGCACCCTTTTGAATTCTGATAGAAACTGTTTGAACAGCCTGCAGAGTTGGCTGTCTACCTGCAGGGAGGAACAGAGTAAAATTACTTGAAGTCCTGTAATTTAATTTACTCTTAATGGCAAATAAGTGTTGTTGAATCCCTTGTACGTGACGTATGGAATTATAGGTACTGCTCTTAAATGGTTTCATTTGTATTTATCAAACAAGAAACAGCGAATCTGAAGGATCATGTCTTGGTCCCTTGCTCTTCACGTTGTACGCAAGTAAGCTCTTCGATGTTGTTGAATCCCATCTCCCTAACGTTTACGCATACGCTGATGATACGCAGCTCTATATCTCATTTAAGCCGGATGGTTCTGCTACTGAGATGGATGCTGTTGACGCTTTACAAGCTTGCATCAGGGACATAAGAACCTGGATGGTCCAAGACAAACTTCGGCTGAATGATGCTAAGACCGAGTTTCTTATTATAGGTACACGCGCACAGTTAAATAAGGTTACGATAAGTGACTTTGCAAGTAGGTGAGGTAAAGGTTTCTGCTGTTTACTCTGTTAGAAATCTAGGTGCTTGGTTTGATGCAAACATGAATATGACCACACATATTAACAGCATATGTCAGGGTATTTATTGCCATCTACATAACATCCGGCATATTAGAAAGTACTTATCATATGACAATAGGAAGTCCATTGTACAGGCTATTATAATGTCACGATTAGACTATTGTAATGGTCTATTATATGGTACGCCCGCTGTTCATCTTGGTAAGCTGCAAAGCCTGCAGAATGTGGCAGCTCGGCTGGTATGTACTATATCTAGGTATGATCCTATCACACCATCCCTCATCAACCTGCACTGGCTTCCGGTTACCCACAGAATAGAATTCAAGATAGCAATGCTAGTTCACAAATGTATCTACGGCGTCGCACCACAATATCTTTTGGACTTGATAAAAATCAAAGAGAGCTCGCTGTATCAGTTGAGATCATACCAGGGCATACTCCTTATGGACAATACCTATAGAACAAAAAAGAGACTCGGGGATAGGGCGTTTGAAAATGCTGCGCCCAAAGTATGGAATCGACTCCCTCCAGAAATTAGACAATGTCAATCATTGAACATTTTAAAGTTTGACTAAAGACACATCTTTTTAAATTAGCTTCTTATTAGTTCTTTTATTAACTCATATTTTACTTTTATTGTTTTCCGAAAATTGTAAATTATTATTATCATTATTTGGATTAGCCATTTATTACTTTAAGATTTTAGTGTTATAATGCGCATTCGATCATATCTTTATTGCATGCTAGACTGCGCAATATAAGAAATAAACATTATTATTATTATTATGTTATTTGACAGGAAGAGAGCCACTCCGTGGATCTGTTAAATAGGTTGCTGTTCTCGTCATTATTGATTCAGACATGTGCTTAGAGCTTTTTGCTTTTCTCAGAACTTTACCTTCCCTGGTCATTGATCATAGCCATCAAGTTTTTTAGACTTTGATAGGAAACGAAGAGGGTAATGCAATTTGTCATTAGGAAAATATGCCACAGGAAACTCTGCTTTTGTTCGCATAACTTGATGAAGTAATGATAAGAATTACCTGTACTAGAATTCATGCCCAGTGTGCTTGGCTTTTGTGAACCTTGTTAGGTGTAGCATTATGCCCCCTTCTTGCTTGATCAGGGCAACATTTCTGTCACAATAGTGCGGTTGCTGAAACACCACTTTAAGTTCGCTCTCCAGAACTAACTCCATCGCCCCGGCTTCTAGGCCCCTGCTGGGTGGGAGGTGGGTGTACAGTGACAAAAGCAGTAGTTCACAGGCCTCCTGAGAGCGTTGTTGTTTGTCTTTGGCCAGTTCAAACCAGCACCACTGGGCCTCCTCAGCTTGGAGGACTTCATCCCTTAAGAGAAAGTAGGCAGACGTGATATGTTAACAAGCGAGTAGGTCATTAGTCATTAAAAGAGGCTGATGTGAAAGTGTTGAGATCTTTGTGTTGTTGTTTGAAACTTCCAATGCATTCCAGTTGGAAAAATACGGTTTGGGTGCCTAGCCTTGGTAACAACTATTTTCTTACTCTGATGAACTAGGGGATGCCGGTCATGTATTTATTTGTTTGTTTTCTTTTTCTGTTTTGTTTTCTCCTCTGTTCTTCTTTATTCTGGCACACTTACCAATCCAACCACTTGTTTTGAGCTCTGAAATTGCCCTTTCACTACCCCCCTGTAGCTGTTTTGACCTGGGACATAAGTATTGGTTCAAAGGAAAATTGTTACAGTTAACCGATTATAGGGAATGAGGTATTGAAAACAATGGTTTAGAAAGAGTCTACT